CTGAAATCCTGAGGCATCAGTATTTGTAAAACACACGATGGATTGGATGATCTCCTCACAAAATATCAGTGTTCAAGCTTTGGACACCACAAGGATTTTGTTCAGACAAGCACAGAATTGTCCAATATTGGTTTTGCTCCTGAACAAGCTAAAAAACCCCCTGAGGCAATATCTAAACAAGGTCTGCTCTGCCATAGAATAGAAGAACACAGTGTTTTCCAGGGAATATCTGAAGGCACARAACAAATCCTAACCCCTTTATGTCYRAAACTTTTCATYCAGAAGCACAGAAAGGCAAACACATTCTGCTGAGAGTCCACTGAGACAACATCACTGCTGTCCAAGCAGCAAAATGGGAACTAATTGTAGGATGAACAAACCCCACAGGATCCAGGAGGTGCTGGATCTCGGGGAAAAGGAATTCCTGCAGAACTCACCGAGGCTGGGGCTTCGCTGCTGCCYGTGGAGGTCAGAGTGCTGGCAGTGACAGATTTCTTTGGCAGCTGAGGGCTGGCTTCGGGCTTGGCCTCCATGCTGCTCTTGGAGGAGCTGTCGTTGACCTCATTCTCCTCCACGGGGATTTCTTCACAGTAGCTGGGACGCCACAGAGAACACAGGTTTTTATCTTTACCCCTCTCACAACAGCTACAGCTGGACACACAGAGCAAGTGAGAATGGTTCTATGAAGTTTCCAGGCTGTCCAGAAGCAGGAATGGCTCAGCGCAGGCAAGAGCAAGCCCCAGGTTTTTGTGTGTTTATACAGAGGCTGACAAAGCATCAGCATTTTCTGGMCGTGGAGCTCTGCCTGCCCTCGTGACTGGGATGCTTTGGCTTTTCCAGAACCCCCCAGCTGGCTCAGCAGGCATTTCAGTCCCTCCCAACTTCCCCAGGAAATGCTATTTTTCCATCATTTTGGCATCCCACAAYTTCAGAGCCATTTCAAGATCCCAGATCCCAGAATGTCTCATGCAGCACATCCTGGGGTCACCCTTGCCCTCTCCCTGCTCACCCCATGGTGTTGAAGTCATCATCAGGAGGCACATAGTCTTCATCATCACTGGTCAGCCCCAGCTCGTTGCCATAACACTGGTGGACAAAGTGCCAGAGCTCCTTGGGGCACAGAGGCTGAAATGGGAAGGGGAGAACATCATATATTTGCACCCAAAAATGTGAAAATGTAGGGGAAATTTAAAATTCTCACTGCCAGGAGGACATTCCTTGCCCTGAGGGAAGTGAGGGATTCTGATAGTGGGAGGTGAGATTTTTTCAATAAGCTCAACTCTATGAAATTCCATTTTGTGGAGTTYATTTTGTTCCAAATTGCCCCCAGGCTCTGTCACCAATAATCCTCCACCATCAGMCCAGGTCCTGCCCTAAAATCTGACATTGTTATTTTTCCACACCACAGTCTCCTATTATTCAAGATTATCACAAAAATCAACATGAGGCTACACCCAGAGCAGCCCAAGGGATGAGATTTCCCACTAAAATGGGATGCAATATTTATTGCATGGAAACTATGCTATTATTAATTAATTTTTTGGAATTATTAATGCTAGAATGCAACAATTAAAGAAATAAACCTGCATTTCCTTCCACAAATGTTTTCCCACCCCTTCTGCTGTGCCTCCACTGAATGTCTGCTGCTCCACCAAACCCCAGCACTTTGTGAGGGCTTTTTTTCCCCTTCAACTTTGTTTAAATTCAAGCTGCCTAAAGAATCCCAGCTGTGGGAAAAAAAATATGTAAAACAGCAACAAAGAACATTTCCTGCTGCAGTTTGAAATAAAAAAGAGATTGTGTCACCAGAGACTCCAGTAAAAAGCATGTGTTCAGTTAAAAAGAGAAAACTCATTTTTCTCAATTAAAAAGAGAAAATGACCACTGATGAAAGCCCAGATTTTAGGGATGCAGGACAGTGGATCAGCCCAAATGTTGTATGTTTTATGGTTTTATGCACAAATGTTGTATGTTTTATGCAGATGTGATGGTTCTGGACATGTCCATCCCCTCCCTTCTGTCCCAGCCCCACTCTGAGGTTTTCTCTCCGTACCTTGTCAAGCAGAGCATTCTGCCACAGTCTGAACATCATCATGTACGTCCTGTCCCGAGCCCCGAAGGAAGTGAAAAAGTGCTGGGTGGGGAGAGAGGGAGAGAAAAAACAGATCAGAAAAAGGCAAAAAATCGGGGAAAAAGAGAACAAGCCTGTTTGGGATGGCTTTCCAGCTGAAATGAGCCATCCAGACAAGACAGAGAGGGAGAGACCCCTGAAACTGCTCTGTTACAGACATTCTGCTGGAAAACCTGGGTGTTTTACCTGACCCTGATGCCTCAGGATTTTTAATTTCTATATTTTCGTAGATCTGTATTCTTGTACTTTTCTCGTACAGTGCTAAGCTCCTGCTCTCCCATCTTTAGACAAAACAATCCCTCTCTGAGCCTGAATCCAAGGACACCTCGCTGCCTCAGAGCCCCAAAATGTGGAAACAACAGAGAATTGGGGGGAGCAAGTTTGGGATGGGTGACATTATCACCTGAAGGTGGAATTGGAGAATTGGGGCTGGATTTGTTCATAAGACAGAACTTATAAAAGGTGAAGATCCAGTGATTCAGGATCCATTTTGGGTATAGCCTCAGGAGGAGGTTTTGTCTGCCCTAATGTACTTAATGTAATTTTGTCTGCCCTGTTAGGCCTGGATTAAAGTTGTCTATTCTCACTCTCTTAAGTTTATCTGGCCTCTGTTTCAGGTGAGCTTGATTTTAGGCAACAGTCCCACACCCCACAGACTCAGCCCAGGCAGCACAAGCCCTGCCCCAGCCCTTTTCCCCAGATATTTCCCCAGTTTGGGATAATCCCCCATCCCAGTGTCACCTCCCTGTCCCTGCCAGGCACAGGGATGGTCTCAGCAGTGCAGGATTTACCTTTTCAGTGTCAGTGCAAACTTGGATGGCATTGGGAATGAGCCGTGCTGTCTTCTCCTTGGTCATGGAGCAGATGTCCTTCAAGCGAACTGTCAGCTGCACCAGACAGGGGAAAACACCAGGATTGGTGAGAAAAGGTAGCAGGAGTGTTAGGAAATAAACCAGTTTAAAAAATTTTATATCACTTTGGTCATTCAGAGTTCCCAGGGGGAAGGGTACTGAAGTTTCTTTCTAAGAAATTTTATTCCATTATTGCACCAGGTGAAGTTAACATCTCAACAGACTGGGAGTAGCCCAAATGATACCCAAAAAAATAAATGGATATCAAAAAAAAAAATCAACTAATATCGGCAAAACATCAATATCAGCAAAACATGAACTAATATCAGCAAAACAAGAACTAATATCAGCAAAACATCAACTGCTATCAGGAAAATACCAACTGCTATCAGGAAAATATCAACTAATATCAGAAAAACATCAACTGTTATCAACAAAACATCAATTGCTATAAGCAAAATATCAACTAGTATCAGCAAAATATCAACTGCTATCAAAAGAACATCAGTAGCCATCAAAAAACATCAACCCCAGAGCTTCTGGCAGAGTTGGAGACATCCAGCACGGAAAAAGATTGATAAAGAAAATCAAGGAATGGAGATCTAATTAACATCAGAGGCGAAGAAATTCGAGTCCAGTAATAAATTAAATACTGGGGGTTGCTCAACCCACCAACAGACCTTGAAACAACACATCCCTATGGGTTCTGACTGTCTAAAGTTTGGAAAAACAACCGGTAAAAAGCAGGTATGTTTAGAATGTTTTCCTTCAGCACATCCTAGCCAGTAAATAAATTAAAGCCTGATTYTCTRYCACTCCAAATTCRGTGTYAGAGGGTTTTTGTGACAGGAAAAGCCCTCCTGAGGCACATTTGAACACAGGGGCAGCCTCACCAGTGTCTCCCAGCGGAAGATGTTGCTGTAGAAGCAGATCCAGTTCTCRGAGAGGTAGAGGCGGCCCTGCAGGAGGATATCTCGCTGGAGAGCACATGAGTAATCTGTGAGGAGCAGAAAAAAAAACATGATTTGGGCCAGATTGTCCTTCCCTGCAATCCCAAAACCACCCCAAGGCAGGGCCAGCAGGAGCCCAGCCCCAGCTGCTGCTGCTGCTGCTCCATCCCCGGGGCTTTTTCCTCCCAAGGACACGTCACACTCGATCTGTGCCCCTGGCTGATGATCCTCCCTTATCAGCATGCTCTGCAGCATCCTCTGCACCATTTCCAGATTCCATCTCTCTTTTCCTTTCTGCTTCCATTGTCTGTTCCTCCCCCAGCTGAAACGTCCCCAAGCATTCCCATCCCCCTGACAGGATGGAGATCTTCCACCAGCACAGAAAATGGTGATTTATCCCAAAAAATAGTGATTTACCACAAAAAAATGGGTGATTCAGCACAGAAAATCATATTTTCCTTCCTCTCTTCACCAGCTAAAGGACCAAAGCCATTCTAGTGCTCCAAGCCCTGGGGGTACAAGGTCCCCATCCCATCCTGGTTCTTATTCCTGGGAACCAAGGTCATTAAAACACATTTTCATAAAGAAAAATGTGTCCCACCCTCAGCTGGGACWGAGGGTGAGGGAATTCAGAGAAGGGGCTTGACCTGGGGGGAATTACATCACCCCTCGTCGTCCTAATTGGTGTTTTTTATCAATTATGCGATTTCCGAAAACCCATCAATCTCCATTCATTCCTGTGGCACTTTTGTGAATATTCTTCCAACAAAGCCCCACTTTTCCATCCCCACTTTCATTTCTAAACCTCAAAAAAGGCAACACTTTTTTTATTCTTTTTTTAGGCATTTTTAAACATCCTTACCCACGATGAGGCGCTCCGTGTCCGGGAGCTGCTTGAAGAGCTTCCTGAAATCTTCATTTCGCTGTTTGTAGGTGGGACTCAGCACCTGCAAGG